TTCCCGGATCAAACCCGGGTCTCCTGCACTGCAGGCAGATTCTTTGCCAGCTAAGCCACCAGGGAAGCCTGATGTATTCATTATTTCAAAATTAAATTAAAAAGTTAAACAACAATGAAATCACTGAAAATTTGAAAAAAAAAAAATAGATGCCTATATTCCATCCAGCTCCCCAGAGATTCCCCTTAATTTCTGTGAGAAGGAGCTCAGAAATTCACAGTTTGAAAAAGTCTAGTGAGAAAGGTTATAATTCAGGCTTCTAAAAGTTAAAAGGCTAGTTTCAGAAGCAAATTAACACTTATCTACAGTCAAGTGAAACATCTTAGGTTTTACTGGCCATGAAATAATCTTTAAATCTTTCAAGGCTTCCCAGGAAAAAAAACACGTGTGGAAAGACTGTTTGTCCTTTACCTGGGAGAAGTCCAGGACCCGAGCAGATGGTGAGGAGGGCTTTCCTTTCCCCACATCTGTCAGATGTGCTATTTGCTGCTGACGTGGGCACAAGCTCACCCGCCAGACGGATGCCTAAGGGCCCCAGTCACTGAAAAGCTTAGTGGTAAACTTCTTGCTGTGCTTGACCCAGACTTGATACATAAGGTACAGACCCACAGATGGATACTTGTTTCTGATCTGAGGCAGGAGATGGATGGGACCCAGGCTAGATATTTACAACTGGCCTCCTGTTTACATTTCTTGGGGCAAGAAAAAGATCGACTTCGGGCCAGACACTTACAACCCGTTTGAATTTCCTGAAACAGGGGATAAGTGGGCTCGAGGTTAAGATACTTACAACCAGTCTCCTGTTTGCTCTCCGAAATGACAATGATGACTGAAACAGGATAAATAGCCAGGCTTTGCTTCCTGTAGATACCTTAAGGTCATAATAATGGCAGGAACGGAAAGGGGCTAGATCTTGTTTGAGTCAAGGATCAAGAGGTCACATATTTCCCATCCTTGGAGCAACAGAGACACGGTACATGCGCAGAAAGGCTCCTTGGGGGTCCAAAAGGAGGGGGCACCACCCCATAATAGGTGATGCTAATATCCCATAGGCCTCTGGGCTGGAATCTATCTTGGAAAAAACACTGGGGAGGGTCATAGGGCAGATCAGGTGTGGGAAAAAAGAGATAATTGGCTAAAGGTAAACAAAGACCAGGAAGAACCGCCCTATATAAAAATGACTTAACTGCCTCCTCACTAGGAGGGGATTCCCACACCCTTTCTCTTCCTGCATCTCTACCTTAGTTCTGTCTTAACTAAAACTGCTTTTCTGTGTGCTTCCTCACTTGTGCTGCTGTGTCAGTAATAAAAAACTTTGTACCTGCATTTACAGTTTTGCCTTTGCAAGACATGCATTTTTCAATGGGAGCAAAGATCCAGGGAAAAATAACTTCTGGCTTCTAGCCTCTAGACCTTGCTGTTCTGATGGCTAGGATTTCAGGCTTTCATCCAGACTCAGTTCAATTCAGTTCAGTTCAGTCACTCAGTCATGTCCAACTCTTTGTGACCCCATGAATCGCAGCACACCAGGCCTCCCTGTTCATCACCAGCTCCCAGAATTTACTCAAACTCGTCCATCGAGTCGGTGATGCCATCCAGCCATCTCATCCTCTGTCGTCCCCTTCTCCTCCCGCCCCCAATCACTCCCAGCATCAGGGTCTTTTCCAATGAGTCAACTCTTCACATGAGGTGGCCAAAGTACTGGAGTTTCAGCTTCAGGATCAGTCCCTCCAATGAACACCCAGGACTGATCTCCTTTAGGATTGACCGGTTTGATCTCCTTGCAGTCCAAGGGACTCTCAAGAGTCTTCTCCAACATCACAGTTCAAAAGCATCAATTTTTCAGTCCTTAGCTTTCTTCACAGTCCAACTCTCACATCCATACATGACCACTGGAAAAACCATAGCCTTGACTAGATGGACCTTTGTGGCAAAGTAATGTCTCTGCTTTTTAATATGCTATCTAGGTTGGTCATAACTTTCCTTCCAAGGAGTAAGCATCTTTTAATTTCATGGCTACAGTCACCATCTGCAGTGATTTTGGAGCCTAAAAAAATAAAGTCTGATACTGTTTCCACTGTCTCCCCATCTATTTCCCATGAAGTGATGGGACAAGATGCCGTGATCTTAGTTTTCTGAATGTTAAGCTTTAAGCCAACTTTTTCACTCTCCTCTTTCACTTTCATCAAGAGGCT